AATTGTCCACTAACATCTTTAAACCGAGAAGACGAAGACATTATCCTGATAGGATCGTGTTGACCATAACGGCTGTTCCGGGTAGCAAGGTGCAGGAAATTACGTTGCCTCAAAGGTCTTTGCGGCGCATATACGTGCAATTCAGCAAGAATATCTGGGGCATCGTAACACAAACTTTTTCTGCACCGCCTCGATACGGTCAATCCAGTTTCTGTTGTACGGGCACCATACCAGCACGGAAGATTCCAAAATAGATCGAACCAGTGCACAGAAAAGGGACTTCAGGCAGAGAGGATCACGAAATCCATCAGCAAGCTTAAACATGAAGCCGAGCTGTTTATTGGCTTTTGCAATCACGTCTTCGTAATGCGGTCGGAAAGTGAGTTCGCGGTCCAATAACACACCGAGATCCCTAACCTGATACAAGCGCTCGAGAGTTTGTCCACACATGCTGTAGTTGAAATTGATTGGTTGCCGCTTCCTGCTGAATGATATTGTGTTGCATTTGGCTATGCATTAATCGAGTAGGTTTCGCTTGCTCCAGTCCTCGAACAAATCTAATAACCTCTGCAACTCCAGACAATCCTCAGTGCACGTGATGATCATAAAGATCTTAACATCGTCGGCATAGAATATTCGCTGTCTACGTGGCAACACAAAGGCAATGTCATTTATGAATAATGAGAAAAGCAGCGGTCCAAGATTACTCCCTTGCGGTACACCAGAAGGAATCATAAACGGCTCCGAATGTGACGAACCAATCCTTACTCTCACGGATCTTTCAGACAGATATGATCTAAAACAGCTAACAAGCGCGGAAGATACCCCCAGCTTCTCGAGTTTTTGCAACAGGATATCATGATTCACACGATCAAATGCAGCCTTGAAGTCCGTGTCCGTGTCCACTTGTGAACCAGCGTCCATTGAGCGTATGCAGAGTGAGGTGAACTGAGTGAGGTTAGTTGTAACAGATCGTTTCGGGTAGAATCCATGCTGGACACATGAAATGTAGTTTTTGGTGGCTTCAAAGAGAGCGTTGTTTACAATTATTTCAAAAACCTTAGAGCAAGCGCTCAAGGACGTTATTCCACGGTAGTTGTCGGTGACAGAAACGAAGTTTTTCATCCAGCAGGAAATTTTTGCTGTTGGAACGAGAGATTGAACAGTTTTACTAACGGTGTCATCAGAGAACTCGAGCAGTTTTTCAACACAGATGAAGGAATCCCATCAGGACCGGGTGACACGGAATGTTTGAGCTTACGTAATGCATTTTCGACATGCTCCTCGCTGATCTGGAAAATTCCAAAGTCGATGCTGTTTAGCGGCGTATCACGAACAGCAGCCTCTATCTGCGATGGCGTAGCAGGCGTATTTGAGAAGACATTCTTGAAGTCTTCAGCAAAGATCTCACATTTACTAGAGGCTGTGCGTTGGCAATCCATCTTCCTTGCGTTTAGTACGAACAAAAGACCAGAACTGTTTGGGATGTAGACGTAAATTTCTCTGCGTACGATCAACGTATCGACTATACGTTCGAAGTGCAGATCGCCTACGGCGCTTCAACTGGCGGAGGCTCCTGTTCGTCCAAGGAGGCTTCAGTGGAGGGCGCTGAAGAGGCACGTGAGCTTCGATGACTTGACGTATCTCCGTGTTGAAAATACATACAATATCGTCCAGATCCTGATCAGAATCCAAAAATTGCCAATCGATTGATAATAGCGCATCATTCATCGAACTATAATCAGCCCGACGAAAATCGAACGGCAGTCGTCTAGAGATGGTTCAAATGACACTGGTACCGAAATAGAAACGGTGACGTCAATAGCAGGATGTGGAGTATCGATTTCTACGAGCGATTCAGCCGCTTCGGATACGCAACAGCTTGATAACGCTGAGTCATTCACGAGTACTAAATCGAGAATCCGTGAACTGGAGTTCTTCACAGTATTGATTTGTGTCAGACCCTGGAAGCAGAAGGCATCGTACAATGCACAACTAGCATTCGTTAATCTCGATGTATGGGAATCTATTGTGAGGCCACCATCCTCTGATGGTACCCAGTGCATTTCAGGATGATTTTAGTCTCCAAACTGGAAAGCAAGGTCGTGAGGCCTCAAGCCGGAAAGGATTGAATCAATGGAGTCAGTATGCTGCTGTATGAGCGACAGGACAATTTAGAAGAGACGGCTATCAATACACCTCCACCACGAGTTTTTCGACTGTTCAAAGAACTACGATCTATCCTGAACACAGTGTAAGAGTCGTTGAATAATTGAGTAGACAAGATGCAATCGTTCAGCCAAGTCTCAGTTAGCACGATAACATCATATTCCGAGTCAGTTGTAGCTAAGAAGAAAGAATCTATCTTTGTCCGAAGTCCTCGTGCATTCTGATAGTAAATGCGTAGCTCGGAAGTTGTTGAGGAAGGATTGTCACAAACTTCTCGTCCGTTCCTCGGCAGAATGCAATGAATTTGAGTGGGTGTTGCGCTGAAATCCAAATGTTGATCACGAGGAGAATCACCGAGAAAGCACACATACTTGCCTGAAAAGCCAGGATGGGAGACCCTCGCCCTATCTCCGACCACAGGGCCGGAACGACTTGGACGACAGGGTACCACAAATGACTGGCAGGAAACGGATTTTTTTTAGGGGAAAATAGAAAAGAACTATGATAGAATTCTAGGATGATTGAAATTGAACTAAAAAAAGGCGAAGATATCCTGTGAAGAGTTCCAAGTAAATTCAGACTAATCATGATCTGGGATGCAGGAAAAATATAAATTACGGAGTTTAGAATCATTGCAAGATCCTGAGACTTCAAAAATCAGACTTTCATTTTAGTAATATAATAAAATTATTCTTTGGTATACAATTTTTCGCAATGGTCATGTGAATAGTGGAGTTACCCGTAGTTTAGGTAAACTGTGTGTGAGTTTCACGATGTTCGGCTTTAATTCCCACTTCAGCCTGGTAAATTTTGCTTCAAAATAAAATTGCCTACTGGTCTGCTGGGTGTTGTGTGTTGTATGATGTCAAGAATTAAACTGCAAATCTGATCAACCTCAGAGTAATATTAAAATTATTTAGAACTTATGATTTTTTTTTTTAATTCTGGCGCTGCATCAAATAGTAAGGACTACATCGACTATTAGTTCAAAAAATACATCCCAACAAATTTTGTTGATTCTTAGCCACTCATTCTTTTTAAAAAAGTTACAGTTTAAAAAACAATTCTAACCATATTTTCTGCTGTTTTTTACTCACATTTAACTCAATTTTTGAAATGCTGCATAATGGATGATTGAACTTTTTGGGCACCGTGTCAATACTTATCAACTATTGGATGATTTTAGCAAGCTAACAAGTTATTTGCTTTACATAATTAATTTAAACATGTAATTTTTAACCATTCTAGTACTTTAAATAAATTCCAGATGATCATACTGACCTATTTTTACGGGAGATTGGCACATCACTTTGATTTCAATAGCATTATGTTAAAAAGAGGATTTTTTTGAGCATTCCAGATTTTTCCAGATTTTATATTTTACCTGGTCCAGATTTTTCTGAAAATGACCTGGCAACGTTGATGGCAAACCAATCTATGCGTATCAGTCATTTTTCCGGTGTTATGTAGGGGAAAGCAGGTTAATTTCGTCAATAGGGCCAACACCTATTGCAGGCTTGATGATTGAAGCCTACTGGAACTATCAATTTTATTTTATTCTGAACAATTACTATTCTCTAGTCCGAATATTAGATAAAATCATATATATCATATGGTCATATCTGTTGTATCTGTTACTTCGAAATAAGTCATACATGATTCACATAGCCTGTATACACCCAACCGAGAAATGTAAGATTCTATTAGGAATTTGCATGATGCAAATCATCTAGGGAAGGGAGAGTCTATAGCAAAACAAATTGTAATTCCAGACTCAGCCTGATCCGATTAACATGAAACGTTGTATAATTGTTTGCATGGTCAATCATTCTCATGTAAGCTAAAATATCCAATTGATGGATTGCATGAAGCAAGAAATATTGAAGAGGCTCGCTTTTCATTATTTAAGTTTTAGATACTATTTTTATATTTGCTCAAAATTATTTGATACTTTTTTTCTGAAAAGAAATTAGTTTTTCCGGCAACTTTGTCCCAGATGTCATTTCGAATGGAAGTGAAAATTTTGACTAATGATTTATTGAAAAATAGCGAAGTAAAATAAAAAAACGTTTTACAAACTTTTGCAAGATTAAGAATGGCCGAATTACAGCTGAAATGTGAATGATAACTCATAGCAAATAATTATGCAAAGTTTAAAGCAAATCGGAAAATGTAGCGTCGGACTGATTCACTCTTACACGGTGAATGAGAACGAGCCAAATTTGAGTTTAGTTTATTCATAAGTACAGGAACTCAGCGATGAGTAAATTTTCCTAATGGTTTCCTGTGAAAATGTGGCATCGTAAGATTTGATAAAGACTAACACATTGTTAAGATATTGAGATAGCTTATACACACTTTCTAAAAAGTTCTAGGAAGTTCATTGAATTTCTACCAAGTTTTCTGAACTACTGCAAAATTTGCTGAGCTTCTTCAAAGTTAGCTGAACTTCTACAAAATTGGCTGGACGAAGTTTCCAAAAGTTCTACGATGTTTCCTGAAGTTGAGCCCTGTACTTTAACTAACCTTCCAAACTTTTACATAGTTCTCTGAAATCAAATGATGTTGTCTTAACTTCTACAAACTGCTCTACGTCTGTAAAAACTCAGTTTTATAAATCTAAAATATTGGACAGCCTCCCACACTCTCTGTCATAGTAGCGGTGAAGACATGTGAATACATTTCGTCGATCTTAGTGCATATTTTTTTCTAAACACGCCTAGCACCCTGGCATCATCACATCAAAATTGAAAAAAATATCATTTTCTGACTATTTACAAGAACCTAACTATCAATAATAACATTATATTTCCCTCCTTCCCCCCAAACAGTCATCCCGGAAATCGACAAGTCCCCACCGATGCTCCGGGCCGCAGCCAGCTCCGGCGAACGTGGCCGGCTACCGTGCCGGGCCCAGTCAGCTCCTCGGCCCAAGTTCTACTGGTCCCGCGGCGGTCAGAGCCTGAACGTCAATCAAACCTCCAAGTACTACGTCGAGAATAAACAAATCGACTCGCTCACCTTCGAATCGATTCTGCTAATCGAGCGGGTCAGCTCCAACGATTACGGTGTGTACGAGTGCACGGCCCGCAACGAACTCGGAAGTGTCAAGGAAAGCGTTCGGTTGGATGTTACCTCCCCGCCGGACCCACCGCTCAGTCTCAACATCCTGAACGTGACGCACGATACCGTCACCGTGGCGTGGACGCCCGGCTTCGACGGTGGAATGAAGGCCAACTATCGGGTGCGCTACCGGGAAGCTAACAACGACCACTACCGGTACGAGGACAGTCTTGCCAACTCGCACAAGCTCACCATCACCGGGCTGCGGATGAACACGCTCTATCTGTTCTCGGTGATGGCATCCAATGCGCTCGGCACCAGCAAGTACTTGCCCGATCTAACCCGGGCCCAGACGAAAGGTAACGTTGTTGTTGTTGTTCTATTTACCTACGAGAATATTAATGACCCCGGATGGGATGCAACGATACGATGGAATTTGGAAAGCTTCTTCCGCGAAATGGATGAGGAATTCCATGTTGGATTCAAACTAGGCTTGAGCTAGACTCTATTTCCAATTACCAAAACTCAAATCCTGCGAGTAGTGGATCAAACATAGAATTCCTTTATTGTAAAAAAAAAGAAGCTCCCAACCCATTTCCGTTTCGTTTCAACCCGACTCCACGGTGATCTTGTAACTTTTAATTAAAGACTGAAATTAATCTTACATCTTTCTCCGTCCCACCAAAACACACACAAAATCTAACGGTTGCTAACACTCCACCCAACCAATCTTCATTATCCTAATCCGCGTTTGACCGGACACGAACCGAACCGAACGAAAATCCCTTCCCCTTCAATCAACATTGAATCCCCTCCCACCAGACACCCCTCCGTCCCAGCCGGCATCGTCGCTGGGCAGTAAACCGCCGGCCGGACCGCCACCGTCCTCCATCGGTGCCTCCGGGCTGTTGCTCCTGATCGGGGTCGCGGCCGGCATTTGCCTGGTTCTGCTCAATATCCTGCTCATCGGATGCTGCATCCACCGGCGAACCAGCCACAAGCGAGTGAAACGGGGTAGGAATGACGATTTTTTCCTCTCTTGGTAAAACATTCTCGGTGATGGAAAATGCCGTCCCATTGAGATTGTCCCACGAGGCACGGGGCGATTCCAAATTGGTCCGTAACACCGAGGATGTTTCGTAGTTCCGGTTCATGATTTGCTACCGTTCGTCGACCCTCGTCGCAATAAAAGGTTCGCCGCTTTTGATGAGTTCAAATGGTATAGCTTTGAGTGTGGATGCGTGGTTATAATTTTGTTTAATTTTTTTGCGAATCAGTACCTACTAGAAGTTTTTCAAATTCAAATGCCGTCGAACTTGAAAAATAGCATTTGAAACACATTGCTTAATTGATTGCAACATGGTGCGACTTATAAACAGAGCTAGCCGGGAACGACGGCCCTTCAACAAGACACAGAGTTTTCGCATCATAGGACATGAAGCAACAATAAGAGTGAAAGTTTAAACCTTCGTAAATGCGTAAAATCCATTACACTTAAATGGAGCTTGATATTTTTATGATAGTGTAAATATGTAATATGTGCTATGTTAACACCTATATATCTTATAACGGACCGGACCGGAGCAACCGGAAAAACCCAGGCAAATAGAATATTTACCAACTCTGGTCGTGATTGAATATATCACAGACATACATCAAATCTCCGCGTACATCGTACGGGTGTTAGGGTGTCCTGTTTCCCTTGTTTGACGTTTTAAGGACTAGGATTCGGTGGTAGATTTTATACCAGTAACGGGCCACCCATATTAGATCTGGATCTGACGCTTTGCGGCAAAGTGACAGCTGAATCTAACGGGTGGCAACTAAAATTTTGGAATTTCTTTCTCAAGCTGTCAAAAAAAGTCAAACATACTTGAAGAAGATCTGATTTATTGAAATTAAAGATACATTGTCCATTGCTGAAAATTGAAAATTGTCTAACTGTCTAACTGTGTAACGTCAACGCAACGCAAACGGATCTAATGTAGGAGCCCCTTAACGCGCCACAATAAGGTGATCTACTAACCTTACTGGTATAAGATCTACCACCGAACCCTAGTCCTGAAAACAAGGCAAACAGGAAGCCCGTACGATGTACTTACTGTCTGGCAGTGGCATGATGGATCAAATCTGCCTGTAATAATTTCTTATGAATGCGAAAAGCTTGAATAGCCCATTTCAAGAACGCAAGCATTCTGAAGCTATTTTCACATACGATAAGCCCCATTCCAATACATCATCGATGCTAATATACACCATTGATAATGTACTGAAACTTTCAATCAAGCACTAGTGCAATACTTGATTGACGCGTATTTAGTAAGTTTCAAAATTATTGTCTTAATTTAGATGGATAAAACCTATAGAGCAGAGGTTTTCAAACTTTTGTTGACTGCGACCCACTGTAAGAAATTCTATAAGCTCGACACCCAACAATATTAAATGCAGATGTTGTAAAGCCAATATGGAAAAAATACTTTAAAACTGCATGATTACCTGAAATCCTAAAACTATATCACATCGAAGCGTCCACTCCAAACTGAGATATTTCGCCCAAAAAACGCGTAAAAACGCCAAAATGGCGCTAGAGCTCCAAATCAGTCCATAAACGGCCAAAAATGAGCAAAATGGGCGAAAACACTCAATGGATTATTTACACCCATGAGTAGATTAAACCAATAATTTTAGCTGCAGACCAGCTGATACTGACAAAAATTAACTGCATACGGTAAATTTTGATTGTATGACCTTTTATGCATCTAATATTGATAGTTGGGCATATAACAACAGAGTAGTATTATAACTAAACATGATTTAAAACACCTCATAATCGTTCTTAAAAACGTTAAATCGTCCTGAAAACTCTTAAAACAGTATAAACATCTCCAAAATAACATCAAAAATGTACAAACGCCAAAAATCAGACTAGAATTACCAAAATGGCTTTATCTTGCTCATGTGAACTAGAATAGATAAAAAATATCCAAGAAGTTTAGAATAACCTTAAAACCTCTCAACCGGGCAACTCTTGTTATAATCTTGAAAAGTCATAATAGTCAAAAAGACGCTAAACATGACCCAGTGAAGTCATATTTAAAATTTACTTTTAAAAACTCAAATTAAATTGAAATCTCTAAAATGGCTTGAACATGCCAAAATAGTCCTGAGTTTAAATGATAGAACAGTCCTGAAAGCGCTAAAAATAATAACTTATTAATGGGAAAATGGCTTTGAAAATCTTTAATGATTTCATAGCACCATTGTATTTAATGAAGGTAAATTCCGTTTAGAGACTTATATTATAATTAAGCAAATAAGCAAATTTGAATGCTTCTGACCAGTGATGGGAAAATATAAAAATCAAATCTCAAAGTACAAGATCACGCTTGGTTTTTGTAGTCAAAAATCAATAAGCAAACAACTGTAGCTGATATTGCAAGCTGTGATATCGCAGCTCAGAATATCAAGTTGACAAAACTCCCCAGCTGCAAATCTCACCAAATTGTGGTGAGATGAAGTTTCATGATTTTTGCCTTACACCCGAACGCAACTGAAACTTCCATAATGAGCAGCAGTCGCTTCGTGTCTGCCATCGGTGAAGAGAAAAAAGAGTTGGAAAGATAGCATTATTATACCTTCTCTTTCTAAGAATACGAGGTGCAACGGAATCAATTTTGCGTCGATGCAATACTCAGCTTAAATTTTACACTATGGGAATATATTTTGCTGTAATAATACGCATGACAGTGGTTGAAAGTGGAAAAACATCAATTTTCTAATGATTATATCATCACTGCTTCTGACTAAATTGACTAAATTTCCGCGACCCTCTAAAGAGCAGCGCACGACCCATAGATTGAGAAACGCTGTTATAGAGGAACGAAGAGGCAAATAAACTTAGCTGTCCGTTGTTACGCGTTGGAACAAACGACACCTGGATCAACGAAATGTGAGGGAATTGATAGCTATATCTAAATGCACATTTCAACACCACTTCAGTAATTTTAATTAAAACGTTTTAAACCCGAAATTGTTCATTTTTAACATGTTTACAAGAACGAAAACGACACAGCAAAAAAAACCATCATATCCGCAGCGCGGAGTACTTCGACCGATCCTGGTCGTGATTACGAGATATTATGTAAAACAGTGTTTATATGCTCACTAGTGCCATCATGGGAGACAATTGTGAATCAAAATGCCGTCCGTCAAAATTTCTCACAAAAGAGAACATCTTCGCAAATCAGATTCAATCTATTCCGTCAGAATCATAAAACCCACACACAGAAATGAAAAACAACGCATAATTAAACCCATTTATTCCATATCCCATTTAACGTGCGACAAGCCAAATTTTAGTAAACAGCTAGCAATTTGCATTTAGCTGGAAAAACAATTACTCCGTCACAAAGGTTTTTCTACCCAAAATTAAGTTCAATTCACTCAAATTTGATAATACAGGTATAACTCGATATAACGTAACTGTCACTTTTGCCTTCCATCGCTGATTTCTCGCAAACGAGCATTTAATCAACCAAAGTAATGATTCCATCGGAAAGTCGAAACAAATGTTGATTTATATGATTGTTATTTGAGAGATGTCATCATCGGTCAAAGAAGACAGTTACGTTATTGGTGTAGGTTGCTGCAGCCTTCTGTAAGTAGCTGTAAGAAAATAATATGGTACAGCAAGTACGGGAACATACTTTTGCTTTTTGCTGTACAGAATCATAATGAGTAATCACCGATTTTTCATAGCATATATTTCCTTCTTTCAATCATGAGCAGTTCTTTCGAGTTTCAAGATTTTATATCTGATGCCATTACTACACACTTAATTTTTTCTACCGAGCTCGGCTGTGCAAATCTCGGCAAAAAAAAGTTTCACTAAGATCTCAGCAAAAGTGACATTTGATAGCTGAGTCTCGGATAATGCTGAATCTCAGCAAACAAATGAAATTTTTGCTGAGTTCTCAGTAAAACTTTTTTTGCCGAGATTTGCACAGCCGAGCTCGGTAGAAAAAACTAAGTGTGTACACTGAACCAAAACATCCGCAATACTTCGAATGATTATTGCATTGCTCGAGCCCTTTAACAATATGCATTCGAATTTCGGATGATTTTCTTATGGTTGAATTCGTCGTCAGATGATGAACATCCATATGACTGTCATCCAAATACAGGTTGATTTTCGTTTGAAATTTAGCTATAAAACATACGGCACTCAGAGGACAAACATTTAAGACTAGTGTGACATGCAAGTGTTTTTAATTAGATTTATAATTTGATTATCTACATTTCTATACTGAATAGTCATAATAAGCCATTCCATTATGGATACAAAATTTTTTCGTGGTGAAGGAAACCTCCGCCACGAATTAGCCAGAAATTGGTTTTCATTCTTTACCTATGTTCGAAACAGCTCTGATAGCGATGCATATGCTTCCACCTCGTTTGTTAGCTCAGATCAGCAAATGACATTCGATAGAATTATTAACATCATCGTTTTGAATTATTTGCGTTATGGCGCTGAACCAATACCATATGCATTTCCATTTAGTATGACAGTCATTTTGCAGAGAGCATTACACATTTCAACTGAAGGCCCTATCCCTTCTCATAACAATTTTCATCCTGTATTCTAGAAGAAAATCATCTGATTTTAAAACAACCGTCATCCTTTGCAGGTATCATTCGAAAAAGCGATTTCAGTGATTTGTTTTGAATGGTCTGAGGTTTCATTCGATCAGAGGATGATGTTTGTGTACAGTGTAGTTCAAGAATGTCCATAGAGCAGATATTTCCTTCTTTGAAACATGAGTGGTTCTTTCTGGACGTATTGCAGCAGTGTGTTTTGACATTCAATGCATTGACATAGTTCGGCCAACCTCATTTCCTGTTCAGTATTTTCTTAACCTGGAACAAGACAGATGCCGTATTATTATAAGTGAACAACAAGTTCAGTGTAACTACCCAGTCGGCCTAGTGACCCATTCCACAGTGGTCCAGGAAGA